AATTTTTTTTGCTTACTTCTTTCTTCATAGTATTTACAATTGAGTACAAAATAGACCATTTTGAAGTAGTCCTTGGATGTTCTTAGACACTAAAACAAAATATAATACAAATTAGAGTCGTAAAAATTTATTATATGTAAATAAATCAACATAACCTTAAAAATTTTAATTTACCTTGGCTTTCGGGAACAATCGTTGAATTGGCACACATCTTTCAATTTATTGAAGACACAGTTCTTAATTAAACACATTTTTTTAAATAAGCACAATTAATATAATCTTACGTTTTTCTTGTATTTAATAGTAGAGGAGTGACAACTAATGACAATGACAATTTGTTTGATTTGATACAGTGTTGACAGAATATGTTTTTGTTATGTACCAGATTTGTCTAAAAAATGTACCAGATTCCTTAAATGTATCAGATTTTTCGAATTTTATTTGCAATGACATCTAATTCATTGAAAGGGAAAAAAGGGTGTCTTTATTGATAATGAACCCAAACAAGGAACACAATATATATAAATATACATTTTACACGTGAACACTGATGCACGCAGAAAGTACTACATCTAGTACAATTGTGAATTGTACTAGACTGGCAACACTGGTTTGGCAACCTTGTTTGTGAGCGGTGCGCCAATTAATGTATTCTTTGACAGTTTGAAGGATCTGTCAGCGTGTTGTCTTCTCTTTTTAGCTTTATGCATTTCGGCATACGTCTCACTCGTGTTAGGCTCACTCATCATAGTGCGCCACAGACACAGTATACTTAGGTATACTGTGCCACAGAGACGCGATCAACCAGAGGACAATGATGTACCAAAAAAATATAGATTAACACGTATGAAAATAAAAATATTAAAATTAAATTTATATTTTTATGTTATTTATGTAATATTAAAATAATGTGTTTTTATGAAATTTACCTGGGTGTTCACTGCACAAATGAACCAATGGAGAAACCGCCCCTGGTTTGGCATTGCTCAGACAAAATATTTTTATTCGATATTTGTTTGGTTTGGATCCAGGCAACATTTCATCGATTGCAGCCAATTTATCGCCTTCACGTCGCGCTTCTCTGGTATCTTTGCTGTCGAAACCCAAACATTTTAACAAAAATCTAAAGCATTTTTCCGACATTGTCATTCGAAAAATGCTTATTCCTAATCCGTCAGTGGCCCAGAAATCGTCAAGTCATTGATGACTTCCTCGAAATACCCTTGCCAAACACAATAATCAACTGACCTAGTTTCAACATTATCATCTGAATTTAATTCATCAGATTCTTCATAATCTTCGTCTGGAACATAGGCACTGGATTCGTCATCCTCAAAAATTAGACGATGTACTTTTTCAATATCTTTCGTACTTATTCTTAAGCATGCAAAAACGCTTCACAACAAATTCTCATAACTTGGAATGTCTTAAAAACACAAAGTATTCGAAATGACTGAGTGACAAAATTGTAACGTGAATGGCAGATACACGGCCGACATCATTTGGGTTTTAGGACAATAACGACAAAGAAAAGGGGTTTTTCGGTTTATTCTTCTAGGAAATGATTTAAGGTAGTTCACTCGCGACAGTCGTACATAAAAATATCGCGTAATGGTGAATACCAAAAGTTCGAGATTCTCAATGCTAATCAATTTTATTTTTGTAAGAGACTGTACAAAACACATGTAAGCTTATATATATGAATTTTAATAAAATCCATCCGGCAACTTCATAAATACATGAATGGTTTGCTATAGAAATTTGTGACTTCCTCATACTAATTTTAAGGGTTTGTTTTGGTTCAAACAGAACCGCTGATTCCAGTTCTCAAACACAGTGGACGAATTAATTTTTCAAGAACACGTGAGTTTATAACAACCTCTTAGCTGGTCGAGTGTTACTTTGATACATGAAGTGGCTACAATGTTGCCAAATTGTAATAATTTTACGAAACTACTCGTCAACTGCTTTAAAAATATTTTTATTTTAAAAATCTATATCTTTTTACTAAGACGGTCAAAAAATTCAGCAATTATCTATAAAATTTGATAACTTCTTGATTTATTTAACATTAGTTTTTAAAAAATATGGTAAGAACCGTTTTCGAGATATCTTAAAATAAATGCATTGCTTGTGTACATGATAGGCTTCAAGAGTGTTAATTATGCACATTTTGATTGTTAATATCTCGTTTCACAGACGGTCAAAAAATCTAATTTTTTTTTGAGTTACGTAAACGACACTTTCATAAACCTTATACATATTTAAATTTTATTGAATTCTTAAGAAAAGCCGTTTTACGAGTGAACTACCAAAATATTTGAAGTGGGAATTATGGTACTATATTCATGCGCCGATTCTTGGAAAACTGATTTAACAACAAATGGATCATTTCGTATACTTTTGGAAAAATACTTATAAGCAATTTCAGGATCTAAAAACGATTTACTAGAGATCGAATTGATTATAAATTTTAGAATATATTCAGGAAATTCAACATAATTCACTTGAATTATATAAATTTAATGATTTCAGTTCTGGTTGTTGATTTTGAGGCGTTATCTGAAAATTTATTTCATTAGTATCAGACTATTCTCCGTTGATATTATTTTCAGTAAAATCAAATTGTGGACAACAGCTTTCGGAAAATTGGTTTTCGTTAAAAAGCAAATTATTTTGTTCAAGTTCAACACTGAACAATTCTTCTGAAGTGAATTTATTTTGAGGATACGAATTATTTTAAAGATAGTTTCTGGATGACCCTGGTACGAAATTACGCGTTTCGACACTCATAGGTATTGATTTACTGGTTGTATTTCTAGTAGAAACACTCATGGGCGTTGGGATTTGTAAATTTACATTTCGAATTCCTGTAGACTCTTATTATGTTTCTAACTACAACCTTTTAGCTTTTTTTTTCTCTCCTGGGCTCGTCTGACTATTTGTCTCCGAATAACACTGAAGCCTATTGGCTTATTGTGTTTTACCCCATGTTAGTTCATAGCACCCACTCTATCACCTTTGTACCTTGTACAAGTTTGTACAGATCCTTGGGTGAGTGGGTTCTATACGTTTTTGGATCAACCTGGGGTTGTCCAAAAAGAGCCTGTCTTTTGCGATCTAGAGCTTCGCATTCGCACAGTATGTGTTTGGCCGTTTCTGGTTTCTTGTGACATAGTCGGCACATGAGTTCCCCATTGTACATGCCAATTTTGTGCAAGTGTCCCTTTACTGGGGCGTGCCCAGTCATAAACCCTGTTATCACTTTCAACTGGTTCCTATTCATTAAGAGTAGTTCTCCAGTTCTTTTGGGACATGGTCTGCCTATGAAGGCTTTTCTATGTGCCTGTTTTGGGGTGCTTCCCCAATAGTTGATATGTTGTTCCCGAATCCAGTCATTTATAAAACCCCGGACTGTACTTTTTGATACTCCTGGGTTTGTGTCTGGTTCCGGTGTTTCTTCTGACCCTCTTTTTGCAAGTTCGTCAGCCTTTTCGTTGCCTTCGATCCTTTTGTGACCTGGCACCCAAAATAGTTTTACTCTATTTCGGTCTGTCAGTGTTCTTAGTTCTTCGATGCATTCCCATACCAGCCTCGACGTAACTTTCTGACTCGATATGGCCTTAAGTGCCGCTTGGCTGTCTGACATTATTTGAATATGCTGATTTTCGACAGCTCTTTCATTGTTCGTTTTTGCACATTGCAAAATTGCATATACCTCGGCCTGAAATACCGAGGAATGTATTCCTATAGCATAACTATGGTTAGTATCAGAGAATACTCCTGCCCCAGTGCCTTCCGCAGTCTTAGACCCGTCTGTATACCAGGTTTGTTCCTGTCGTTGGGCATTGGGCTCCCTTATGGTGATCTCCGCTCTTTCCTGTATTAAAACCTCAAAGGGAGTATTAAAAGAGTACCTCTTGGTTAAGTGGTCTGATTTCATGTCTAGCACGTCTCCGGTCACTAACCTTGAGATACTCATGTGACCTGGCCTAATGTCAAGATTTCCCAGTGTATTCCCTAATCTGTAAGCACCTAATCTTGCCTCCCCTTGTATCACATAATGAAGAGGTGGGAGTCCTATTAGTGCTTCAATTGCAGCAGTGGGGGTTGTTTTCATTGCCCCCGTTATTCCGAGGCAGGCAAGTCTTTGTATCTTGCTAAGCCTCGTTATTGCTTTCCTTTGCTGTGTCTTTGGCCACCACACCAAAGCTGCGTATGTTATTAGGGGTCTCACCACCATGTTATAAATCCAGTATACCATTTTTTTCCAAAGGATCGCCTGGCCATCATTAATGAGGTTTCCGCTCTCCTTGTGGTTCTTTCTAGATGCTGGTTCCAGGTAAGTCTCGAGTCAATCATAACCCCGAGATATTTTATCTCCCCCTTAAGCTGGATGCTTGCACCTCTTAGGTTTAGAGGCCCTAGTCCCTCCATGGCTGCCCTTGGGCTACCCGTTTGAAATGACAGACCACTGACAAGCACATGATAGGTTATAGTGTGGCAACACTGTGAGCCTGGTCAATGATATAGACAGTTATATAGATTGATCAGCCATGGTTTTAAAAATAAACATAAGTTTATGCCTTGAAGTAAAAATGTAAACAATTATTATTTTTTAAATATTGAAAAGTTGAAAATTAGTTTTAAAACATATTTTTGCTAAACCGATTTAAATTAATTAACACTTGAAGGGGAATATGGCCGCTCGCAAACGACTTACTTTGAGCAATCTATATAACTATATTGACCCGGTCAACATACTCACAGGATTGCCATATCTAAACTGTCAGAACCCATTGGTAGCCATTTGGATAGGTCATTGGAATATCTAATAATTCTTTTTATATAAACCAACTATTTAAAATGCTAACTAAGCAAACCATTAACTTCTATAAATTCTAGTTGATATAACTCGTGACCAATTGTGTAAAACATTTTTGACTCACACATTATAATACATTTTATCGATATTTATAAATTTAAAAAATTATTTTCAGTCGAAGAAATTTCCAAGAAACCAACACCTCCAATCGAACATGAGATCATTACCAAAGAACCCGAGAAAGTTATACATAAAATTAAACCGAAGAAACCTAAAAAAGAAAAACTATCAATCAAAAGTTTCATGTCAGACAGCGACGCTGACGAATCAGATTTGGCTACACAAAGTGAATCCGACGAAGATGTTTTCCTTTCTAGAAAGCCCACGAGATCCGGTAGACTGCCTAAAGTTGTTCAACGATACGAAGACGAGTCTTCTATTAATTATGTGATGAGGAAGAATAAGATTCCTAATCATGCGCAACCGGATAATGTCGAACCAGGTTCTATAATGATTATCACCGAAAATGGACCGAACGGAGAACCAATTTATAAAATATATATGGTGACACCCGAACAAAAAGCGACCAGATTGGAATTATCTTCTGATGCGATTGCTAAAGCTATACAATTAAAAGAAGGCATGTCAGCGGAAAGCATAATGACAATTTCAGCTAATATTACGGATGACGAGGAAGAATGTCCTCAAGAAAACAACATCACTATACCAGCAGATGAAAACGTAACAACTCTTAAAAGTGACGTTAATATAAATATTCCCGAAGAGGTTTGTAGCGAAAATATCGAACAATTTCCAAACATGGATTTAATGTCAGATTTATCTACACCGGAAATGTTGAATTCACCAATGTTGATCGCAACGGAAGAAGATAATCATCGTAAAGAAGGTCTAATGGTGATAAATGATTTTAATGAGATGTCGCAAATAGTATTGGAAGTTACTAGTGATGGTACTTGTTTCAAATTAAATGATGAAGAAGTGGCAAAGAATGAAGAAAATAGTGTTTTAGATCCAGAAGATGAAATTATAGTTAATGAAAAAATTGTTGAAATGGATTGCGACAGCTAATGATATGTAAAAGGGAATGCATAAAAAAATTGTACATTTTGTAAGTAATATTTTATATTAAATAAGAATTTAATATATTTATAGAAGCACATATTGTTTTATTTAATTATTCGTAGTACTAACAATACTTTATTATATTCATAACATTTATTAACAATTTCATACCTTTGCTAGTCTTTTTCTTTATAAAAATTGTATTATCTGCAGTGCCAGCGCAAGGAACATATCTGCGTGCCCTAACTAAATGTTCAGATAAATAATTTATTGAAAATGTTAATTTACATGAAATAAATTATTAAGTTGAAGAACTTCATTAGTGATATCGTTTTGAACGATTTATAAACTAATTACTTATCTAAGAAGTCCTCATTGGGCTGTCTTAATTGTTTCTATAGGAAAGCATCACAAGTTGACGTGACGATTTATTACACTGTGTTGATATTTTCGTTAATTCATAAAAATAGCTATTAGTATCTGTGGCGCCCGTCAAAGAGATGTAGTTTCATGCCTGTGTCGTTGAGAATGTTCATACCAGAGTGCGCACAAGACCGAACCTCAAGTCGGCCATTGTTACTTAAAAAATACTGTGATGTACGCTTTACCCTTTTTCACGCTGCGTCGTGTAACGTATAATGTTAATGGAAAAGTTCTGTTTTGTTTATATAACAGTTGTTATGTAAGTTTTTTTCTTCAATAAAATGTCATACAGTCCCTTTTGAAATCTAAATTTGTAAAAGACGAGTTTTCTTTACACATTGCTTTACACTAGCACTAACATTAACGTTCACTGCACTAGTTCAAATGGCTTTTTCCTTTTGAGCCTTCTGTTGAGTATAGAGTTGTCCAATAATGGCAGCGCTTCATCTTTGACGTGGGAGTGGAGTCGACCCTCATGTTTCGCAGCAAGCCTCTTTATTTCTTCTTCGATTGTTGGCATCTTCAGATCTCTATGAAGATAATCGTTACGGTAGAACCAAGGTGCATCGACAAAGCATCTTAGGACTTTATTTTGGAAAACTTGTATCATATTGATATTACTCTTGCTGACACATCCCCATAGCTGTATACCATAAATCCAAATTGGTTTTAGGATTTGTTTATAAATCAGCAGTTTGTTGTGCACTAACAATTTGAATTTTCTTCCTAGGAGCCAATACATTTTTTTGAATTTAGGTTCAAGTTCTTTACGCTTTTTTTATGTGCTCTTTCTATTTTAAGTCTTACATCTAGGTTCATCCCTAGGTATTTGGCCGAATGGTGATGCGGAATAACGTCATTGTTTATTCTTCTTGGTTTTGTTCATTTGGTCGAAAAGTAAAATCAACATGCACTGATTTAGTTTGATTTATTTTTATTTTCCACTTTTTTATCCATCGATTGATTCTGTTGCAGGTTTCCTGAAGTTTTTCTGAGGTCTCTGTATTAGTTCCGCCAACGGCCAATATTGCAGTGTCATCCGCAAATTTTAACAGATTGTTGTTGAGGGATATCGCTGGTGTATAATAAGTAAAAAACCGGTCCTAGCACACTGCCTTGTGGGACACCTGCTTTAATTTCTTTCATTTCGGAGTATGCCTCGTCTTGCTTTATTCTAAACATTCTTCCCGTTAGATATGATTGTAGAATGTCGACATATTGTCTAGGAAGCATTTTTTCAAGTTTTTGTATTAGGCCAACATGCCAAACCTTGTCAAATGCTTGGGCTACGTCAAGAAATATAGCTGAGCATATATATTTTTCTTCGTAAGCTTTTTCGATGATATATCGGCTATCCTGTGTACTTGATCTTGTCATCTGGCCATTTCTTTCTTAGTTTTCTTTTTTCTGCTACCAGTTCTCTTATTTCGACAGGATAGTTTTTTATTATTATTTTTTAAATATCTAAAGGCTGAAAATTGGTTTTAAAACATATTTTTGCTAAACCGATTCAAATTAATAAATATTTGCTATGTAATATAACCGCTCGCAAACGACCAGCTTTGAGCTATCTATATAACTATATATGTATCATTGTCTCTGTTAATGACAACATGACAACAGGGTTGCCATATCTAAACTATCAGTCCCCACTGGTAGCCATTTGGACAGGTCGTTGGAATGCCTAATAAGTAAATAACAAAGTTATGTATTTTATTCACGGTAACTAGATAAATTCGAACATTTAGTTGTCACGGTATTGTGCACTCCGAGCAATTACTACTAGAGGGAGTCTTCCCCCCTTCCCCGCGCTAAATTTTGTTAGCAACATCTACTCCCCCCGAGGGGGAAAATACCTCTTCTGTAATTGGCTTATTTAATCAGCGTTGCCAAGTTTGACAGCGCCAGTTCTGTGTGTTCTGACCACATACTTTGATTTTCTGACACTTTCTGACACATGTCAATTTCTTATTTGTATTTTACGGAAAATATTATTATTTATAACGTTGTAAGGGTTGTAAATGTATATTTAAGATTTATTATCTCTAATAATATGGTGAAAACATGCTTTATGTGTAAAAGGCCTGTTGAAAATGCTTCTTCAAGATAATATCATAAGTAAGTACAGACACAACCTAATTATCAGAGGCGGTGCATTAGGCAATCACCTTTAATTTGCAATTAAACTTTCTTATTTTTTTATCGAAAAATTAAAATTAAGAGCAAGTAAACTCCAGCTAAGTTCGTCTTCATCCGTCTCATAATGATTATAGCAAAGGTTAATTACTTATTATTATTTTAATATCAAATGTTTGTAAAGTTTATTGTTATTTTTTTAGGTTTACTTTTCTTGATATGAGAAAGAAATACATGGTTCCAAAATATAGGAATTCAACAAGTGACCACATGAATAACTTTTTATGCTAATGAACATTTTTATTACAGACCTCAGGGAAGGAAAATATTAAAGAAAAATATAATTTCGACGAAAGAAGTATAATAATCAATCCTGTCATTAGTTCTACACTATATTCATCTGCTACTAAAATACTAAAACAGCAAGTAAGTAGAGAAACTTAAGTTTCTTTCAAAAAGAATGTTTAAGGAAAAAGGCATAGCCATTTTTTTGTTGACACTTTTTTTTAACTAATCTAAAAGACTAACTTTGTGTATTGTTTAAATTTTAATTTTTGTACTTAATTTTTTTTAGGTTTAAACAAAATGAACTTAAGATATGCATGGAGTATCCCAAAAGAGCTAAAGAAGGTTTTAAATTCTTAAGAAAACTATTCAGAGCCAAAAACATAAAATAGTCTTCCTGTCCAAAATATAAATAGGTATAAATATTTAGATATTATGAGTGATTTTTTATTCTATAAATAGAACATAATTTGCTTCTAAATCACTACCTAATGCACTATATTATGTAGTACAAAACTAAACAAGAATATCACATTATTCATGTTTTTTTTAATTTCCTTAAAAAACGTCCCAAAAAAATGTGAATATTTATTATTGGTACATCGTTATGCTAAAACAATACTAGAACAACTTAAATAATGTGGATTTTGACTATTTTGAGTTATGCAGATCATTATGATCTAAAAAAATGTTTGTCTGGTGCTATAGCCAGGTATAAAAACATTCATTTCTTTAAACACAGTTGCAATATACATTTTATTTAGTTTTTAAGTTAAAACCTTTTAGGACATCCTAAAATGACTTTTTTCGTTTAATTTGAAATTAATTATTCTACATTTTTGTTGGTGAAATAGGTATTAAGATGTCTTACTGTTTTCTCTGATTATCTAAAAAGTTAGAACAATATACAAAGACTGTTATAACAAAAAAGAGATATACCTTTACTTAAACACACAATTAGTCAGTTCAATTGTACGATAATGTAAAGGAGAAATCCAGAAAACTTTAAAAATGTGTTTAAATGTGTTTTTACTATAACAAGGACATAATTATTGAAAAAACTTGGCACATTAACATTGACGATAGGTTTTTATAATATATATTATACAAATCACAACGAACTACACAAAATGACATTATTAATAATTTAGCAATAAAAAAGTTAAGTACAATGATGACATTAAAAGTTGAGTTTCTCGAAATACTTTTTTTAAATTGTCTCAGTACCTCTAGTATTTTTCTAGCACAATGATATTATATGAATGTGCATTGTGTGATATTTTATGTTTTAGGAATAAAATGATATATTTTTTTGCAGGTTTCTGTTAACAACGATTCCAAGAAATTTTGAAAATATTATTAAAACGGCCTTTGCAAATATAATTCTCAATTAAGAGCTTCTGATCTAACATTAAATTTTTATTCTCCATAAGGTTACAGCTTCCTAAGAAGAAAGTTTAACAAGACTTACCAGACCCAAAATATCAAAATGTTACCAACCAATTGATGGTTCTACTGGTTTCCATAGGAAAATTCTCCTCGAAACTACTAAAAGAAAAGTGGCAGAGGCAACCGAAGAAGGCAAACAAGTCTTTTGCAAAACAAAAACTAGAAATTTGTTTAAGAATCTAATTATTGTTTGAAGTTTTACCATTAATCATTTTTGATAACGATTTAAGATTATGAAGTTCTATTATGTATTTTACTCTTTGATAACCTATGTTTAAATTTTTATTAGAACCAAAATAAATTATAATTTTCATTTCAACTACAAAAACCCTCATAATATTAAAAAGGGGAAAAACGTTAGATTAGTTATGTTCAGGAATAAACTCTTTAAACATTTATCTACTTAAAATGTGTTACTTTTAGAAGGTATGTTATTAACTTTCTATTTGTACTTGTATTAATTTATTTCATTTTATTATCTGTTGTATTTTCAAATTGATTTTAATATTAATCTTATCTATTTATATATTTTTATATTCCCATATGTTTTTTTCATTGAAACAAACGTTTATTAGCTTATTAAATATAATGAATTCATGTTGTTTTATTATATACTTGCATGAATGATTACTTTTTATTTCCTTTTAAAAATGAATTTCGAAGATAAAGCCGAAACGGTGAGTGAGAATAAAAAATTAGACGAAAGTGACGATATTTACTGGAGCTTTCATCTACACGCTCCTTTTTCTAGCCATCTACACCTGAGCCAGCAAGATTCGTCTTCCCTCCATCCTTACATTCT